GAATTACCACTGTGGAAGCTTCCAGATTTCTCAAGAACGTTTGAAGCAGAAGTGAATCCGGATTCTTGAAACAATTGTGGATCGCAGAAATCGAAGATTTGAGCACTGAGAGGGCTCGTGATATCATCCTGGTGAAATAACAAGATCAAATATAATGAGAACTAAAAGAATATTAGATCGAGCAGAGAACGTAAATGATCAAGAATCTTAAGAAGAGATTACGTTAAAGCCAAGCATCAAAAGAAGAGAACAAAAGTTTTAATTGGTGAGATCCTTTTGGAAGTTACAAGATTGGTTCTTATAAAAGACAGATTTATACTAAGGTAAAACTTGTTCTACTGATTTAATTTCCTAGAGAGAATCTGTCTTTATTCTGTTTTTCGACATTGAAACACTCCAAGATTATTGTGTCTTGGATCAAATCCAATGTTTTTTTCCTTCTGCTATTAAAATCAGTTTTGAAGCAATATTGGTAAAGAGAGATTAAATGCATCTGTTCTTTCGTGTGTGACATGTTTAAGAAGTGTTACAACTTCCAAAAGCTAAAAAGAAAAGTAAAAGAAGAGTGGAGTTTCTATAAAAGGAAAGTTTGCTGATTCTGGTATTTCTTTATGATATTGAGATTTTTTTTTTTTTGACATTGCCTAGTATGAACCAACATCTAGATCTTTTTCCCACAAAGAAAAAAAGTAAAGAGCACTTCATAAAATATAACATATGTAATAAATAAACCTTCGTTATGATCATGATCATATATATACATCAAAATACTCCTAGCTAGTGAAATTCACCAAAGTTTATAAGATTAGAAAGTAATCTAGCATTTTACTTTCGCAAAAAAATTGTGTACTCCAAGATGATAGAAACATCTGATATGGACTTTCAGTCGTAGGACATTGTTCTATGCATGTGACGATTTTCTATTGGCTTAGAAGTAACAATCGAATGCGAATGAGAATGATAATGTTAGTATTCAAAAACCGTATCATAATAAATTTTTGGAAGATAAAAAATCGAAGTGTGTAGAGAATCACAAAGAAAGAAGCAAAAGCAAAAGGAATGAAGAAATTTATATTAAAGTGATCAAATGGAATTAATATAAGGAGAAGAAAATGACGTTACACGAAAAAGCTAATTGAAATTCTAGGGTTGCTCCATTAGAGCCTACAAAACCAAAAAAAACAAAAAACTCACTTTCATAAGATTAAAATCGATTTTTTCCTGATCTCTCTTCATGTATTTAAAAAAGAATAGCTAGAGAACTAAAATGTTTAATTCAATGCTTGAAAACAAAATCAAAAGACAACAATATAGTACTATGAAAAGAAAAATATGATAATTGAAGAGCAGAGAATTACAATGGAAAGCTGATCGTGCGACGAGATCATCATGTCTTGCAACATGTTTGTGTTCTTTATCAACCGATGTTATATAATGCGAAGATTTTTCTGGGAAGAAGATGGAAATTTCCCCACAAAAAAAAATGAATTAACGCAAAAAGATTAGAGAATGAGATTTCAAGGATGTTTTGTGGAACAATGTTGGAATAAGTGATGATAAATGAATAAGAAAATCCATCGAAGAAATTCAAATATTGGAGAAAAAAAAAACAAACAAAAAAAAACTGAAAACACACAAAGAGATGATTAAAATTAAAACAGAACAAAGTTTCTTCTGTTTGGACAGAGAAGAAATGAAAAATTTCTTATAGTTTTCTGGAAAAAAAAGAGGTTATGGGAGTTTGACGTAACCATC